AATGAATAAAGTATATTACAAGAATATATTAAAATGAATGGTGTTAAAGAAGAGAGTACTTTTTACAACTAGTTAAGCTGCAAAAAATACGATCGTTTAACTTATTCAAAATAAAAATAAATATGTGGCATCGCATTATAGAGTAACGAGAATCATATACAAATCGAATAATATAAGCTATTATAGCAAGAACTCTTGAGCTGCAATACCAAAACATAATTTAAATTTATATATATAAATTTACAGAAAAAAACTTATGAACATATTAGTATTGTCAAATATAAAACTAATTTATTTATGAAAAAGGGTAAGTTACATAATTGATCGATTAAGAATAATTATATCTTTTAAAGTTAAATATACCAAATATATATTTATCAAATGTCGATTATCATTAATTTAATTGACGAATATACAGACGTTCATAAAAAAACCTAAAAGAGTATATATATATATATATATTAGAAGACATGATTTCAACATTTCTGTTCCTAGACATATTAAGTAAAAAGATAAAAGGTATTATGATCCTTCAAATATTTGCAAGGTCAGCTTGCACAGAAAAATTGTATTATAACTTTAATATTTGGACCTTAATATATTTTTAAAAAAAGTCTACTCTTTTCTTTTAAGTTACATATTATGCCTCGTGTAATTCAATATTGTGGGGTCCATTTGAATTTTCCAATTGAGATATTATTTTTTAAATAGGGAAAATGTATAAGTACCCCTTCAATCTATGCTTGAAATTTCAATATTAAGGTTCTATTATTCCTGAACTTATTTTATAAATAATTTTCTATACATTTTCAGCCTGTGTGGCACTAACTTGAAAAATAAATTCAACACAGGTTAGACCCACAAGACAGTGCCAAGTAAACCGAAAAGGAGTAGAAAATTATTTATAAAATAAGTTCAAGGAGGTAATAAGACCTTGTTATAATATAAGTGTGTCTCTGCAATTTCGGGTATAGGTTGAGGGTGTCTTGTGCATTTTCCCTTTTAATTATAATAAACACAAGAGAAATTTACTAAAACTAATAATAATGATAAATTAAGAATTAAATTAAAATTATTTATTAATTTTATAAAGTGAAAAAATATTATTAGCTATTTTAAAATATTATAGTAAACAACTAGTATTAGACAGAGTGACTTTAGCTTTTACATAAAAATTTATAATGAATTAATTATTTCTATCTTTATTTTGGCTCTAATTAATATACTTAACAATAAATAAATGTGATGAAAATTAATAATATATATTAGATTGAAACTAAAGAAAAAAATGTTAAAAAGTATTTTTACAAATAAAAATGAATATGATGATATACTTGTATTAAAGATGACTAAGAATTAAAATGTAATTTCATTCTAACAAAAATCTATCAAGAATAAATAATTCTAGAAATATCTTTCTATATATGAAGTGAATGATGATTAAAGGTTAAAAAAATGTAACTTCATGCAAACAAAAATCTGCTAATAACAAAAAAATTAAAATAGTTCTAGAAACATATTTAGTTATTATTATTAGTATTACCTCATTTTTCGTATTTCACCATTTTTTATGAATTATTGTGATATCTATTCACTATATGAAAGTAAACAAATTATGATTACGATTAGCTCTTAATAATTCTATATCAAATATAATATTAAGTGGAATCAATCAAAAATAAAATTAAAATTTATATGTATATTTAAATTTTGTGCATTAAAATATTTTTAAATTTTGTGATCTTAAATATGATATATAGAAAAATTAAAATTCAAAAAAAAATTCTTTTTGAGATGAAATAAAAAAATAAGTTCATATAAATTGAAAAGGAGGGATCATATATTAAAAATGAAATACATCTGTGTCATTATTAAAATGAGCTTTCATATATTCTTTAAAAAAAATATCTTTTGGTTTCTTTCTATTAATTTGTGCATATATATGGAGTTTTAAATATTTGAATATGTTAATATAAAAATATAATGATTTGAAAACTTTAATTCTTCGTTTTAATTTCTAATTTGTTGCATATTTAAAAAATTACATAAAAAAAAAGCTTACAGTATCAATGTAACAATTCAAGATATTTTTAAAAAAACATAGTTAAAAACCATAATGCAATTTGGTTGATTCCCTTATTTTTATCGAAACAAAAGAAAATTGCATATATTGTTTGAAAATGACGTAAGAACTAAAAAGTACCATGAATCACAGTAAAATGACAACTAAAAATATGTGAGAATCATATAAAAAAATTTCGTTGACTTTCCTAAAATCACTTGTATAATATAAAATGAAACAGATGGAATATCATATATTATTTGAAAATGATAAAAGATACATAAATTAACAATTTAAAATATTTTTTAGAAAAATACATGGAACAAATTTAGTTCATTTTTCAATTTTTATTTGTATCACATAAATTGAAAAAAAATAATTATCATACGTGAGTCACGCTGACGCGAACAATTAATATCTAATCCTAAATAGATAAAAAAAAAGTTTAGAATTTAATTAACTATAATATTAGTGGACATACATGCATTTGTCATCAAAAATAAATTACACACATATTCTTTTGATAATAATTATTTTGATAAAGATATACTAACAATTTTTTAATTCTTTATAATATTAAGCTCATGCTGACACAATCTATTCCTCCTAATATACACATAAACCAAAATCACTTCAACCCCTTTCTACTATGGCAAACTAGCTTTGGCCATGCCAAATTCATAAATATTTTCGTGTGAAAATTTAGATGTAGTTTCATCATATATTTAATCATAAATATGATAAATATGATTTATATTCATAAATTTTAAAAACTATTAAAAATATCATAAAACTATGTTATTATTTCATTATGAATATATTCCATGATAAAAATTTACTTCATTGATTATAATTTATAATAAAGCCCCAATATACTAAAAAACAATTTTTATTTTTTAAATTTATATTTATATTACTTTTGATTAGTTCTATGAAAAATACCATTATATATTTAATAGTCAAATAACAAACACACGTTATAAACATAACTACCGTATTAATAAATAGTGGGATGGTTTTATAAAATATAAAAGTCTGAAATAAATTTAAAATTTATAAAAGTTCCAACCAAAATTTTCTATTATTTTAAATTTTGAAATGTCCTAAAAAAATATTTACTAAATAATAATAAATTGTATTGCCAGACATCATATGCCAACTTTCTATATAAATTTTTTTAAAACTAAATATATATGGTCAGAAAAGGCCGATAGCATTGAAATAGTGGATAATTATTGGTTTGGTAATATACCATATATACATATAAATAAATATATAACTCTATGATTAATCGAAAAGTGAACTCTACTCATCTATTAGTTTCTCCTGTAGGTCGATGGGATATTGCAAATTTGTCCTTATTTATGTTTCTATCAATTATTGATTTGTTTGTTAAACAAACAATCACAAATGTTTTAAAAGTAACTAGGAGAAAAAATTATTTATTTAGTACTCCTTAGTTAATTATATAAAATAACTCTAGTAGTTTCCTAGGTATATTTTATACATTTAACAAGAGAAACAAATTAGATTTTAATTACTTTTAATTATAATTTAAAAGAAGTTTCAATTATTTTTTTGGACTATATTCCGTCGATTCAATTGACAGAATTCTAATTTAATTTGACATGAAATTTAAAGAAAGAAACAAGATTATGTGACTTATGATCCTAACATTTTATATCTAAAATTTATATCATTAAAAAATCGTTTTAAAATAATGATAACATTCCCATGATAAAAAATAAATTCATTAGGATGAAAAATAAAATAATTAGGAGTGTCATTTTGGCAAAGACAAATGGAATGTTGAAGTTGAAATTATAAGAAGTGAGCAAAAGAGACGAGTTTTTTCCTTTTGGTTTTCCATTTAATATATATTTAACTTTCATATTGAAGTCATGATTTAATTCAAAATCACATATTATAGAATTTATTCGAAGATAATGATCTCAATAAAATTTTCTTCATATGTAAAGATTTAAATTTTGAAATTTCTACTTAAAAATAAAATAATTTTATCGCTACACCATAACCTATATTTTTGATTAAATGAGACAAGTTACTGCATAGGAAGTGCTTGTAAGTCAACAATATATAATTATCATATAATTAAAAAAGCAATACATATAATAGCTCCAAGTTCTTTGTATATATATAGTTATAAATTATACATACCTTGAGCTTGACTCTGCCTAGCTATATTATAATCTCTCTGCAGGGTGGGTTCAACTTGGCTTCCTAAATTATTTAATGCATTATTGGTATAAGATGGATTTGCTAAAATACAAGCCTTTAGAGGCTTCAGTGCGTCACAGGCTCCAATGAATTCGTGACCCCTTTTTTATTTCTCCATCGGATATCATATTTGAATCCGATTAAATCTGAATTTCTCACTTAATATTCAATTTTTATATTACAGCATGATCAAATTCAAATTTATATTTCACATTAGGGGTGAAATCAGGGGCTGACCCACATGGCTCGGTAAGGGTGCAATGCACCTGTTAATTTCGAAAAAATGATGTATATATACATGTATATCTATCTTAAGAAATTAAAAAAAAAGATATGATTAAGGGTGCATCCATAGTTAACATGAATGTATCGTTGTACAGTTGGTATAAGCTAGTGATGTCATTTACCGAGACCCAGGTTCAAATAGTGCAACTGAAATCTTCAAACTCTCAATTCAACTCTACAGTGAAACGCTTTCTAATAAAGATGATATAATATTCAGAGGAATCTGAACTCGAAATCAAAATTTCTGATTAAAAATGAATGAGTACTTTTGGGTGAATTCATGAGAATTTCATTTGAAGAAAGTGTTAGGCTGTCAGTTTAGCATTGTGGCCATTGACTTTTCTCTCTCTCCCTCTCTTTCTCCCTCTCTTGGTTGTCGGCCTCCTTTTTATTACTTTTAATTATTATTATAGCTAACAAATTATGTGTATATAATACTACTAGTATTACATATGCAAGTGCAATACCCAAAATCAAAATCACTTGTGTTTCTTCTTCTTACTTCCCAATTTCATCAAGGTTACTCAATTCTGCTTCTTTTGCTTTTTTTGCTTTTGCTAGGTTTTGTTATGTACTCTTGCTTAGTTCAGATTCATCTTATAATTGCATAATTAAGCTGGATATATTCATTTCTTCTATTCCTTAGTTACACACTAAAAAAAAACCTTTAAATCATGTAACTAAAGCTTCATCTATTTCTTCAATCTTCTCTTTTCCCCCCCAAAAAAAAACAAAAAAAAGTTTTTTCTTTCAGTTGTTGTATTCTGATTTATCTATTTGGATCAATCTATCGATCTGGCTGTTAAACTGAATATCGTGTAGCTAAACATTTATAAAAGCTAAAAAAATATGTAATATCTATCTCTATTGAAAGTAATTTTGTTCATTTTTTTCTTAAAAAAAAAAAAAAGTTTGGGAGTTATTGATCTAAGATGGCGGAATTAGAAAATGGGATATCGGCGCCGGCAACGCCGGGTACGCCGACTCCGTTATTCCCGTCGTTACGAGTGGATTCGATGGGTTCTTATGATCGGAAGTCAATGCCTCGATGCAAATGTTTGCCTTTGGATGCACCAACATGGGGAGCTCCTCATACCTGTCTTGCAGATTTTCCTGCACCAGATGTCTCCCTCACACGAAAGGTACACTACTACTCCCTCCCGTTAATTTGATTCGACACGAAATTTACAGAAAAATAAATAAATTTCAAACTTGTGTCATTCTTTCTAGGACCGATTAGATAGAATGCTATTTACTGCATTTCTATGACTATAACTTTTTACTGGGTAAAACTTACCCACACACGCTTGTATTTACACCAAGTCAATACATGCATGTCACGTGATTAAATTTACGGAAAAGGATTAAAATTGTCTCTAAACTATGCAAAATAGACCACTTATACCTTCCATTATATTTTGGGATCAAAAATGTCCCCACAATTATTTAACCATGACTAATTGACATTTGTTTTTACTTTATTAAATCACATAATAATAAAAATTGTATTAACTTGATGTAAACACTCGATGCGGATAATTTTTTTTTCTTTTTACTATATTAGAAAAGGATAATTTAGTTTAATTTGATATGCAATTTTTAAAAAGCAAAAGAAAATCTTTTGATTCTACGGTAATCTTCTGTTTTGAATATGTTACGCAAAAAATTAAAATTAAAGTATTTGATAAAAGAGAAATGAGGAGGGTAATTTTTTTTTTTGGGGGGTAACTAGAGTACCTATGTAATGATCAAGTTGAGGGTTAGGTACATAATATAGGTACTTAAACCATTACAATTACATCACAAGAGGGCCCAAATTAGCCAATAATTTCATTCATATTTTTCATTTCAATCAATGAGGCACACAATAATCGCCATAATATTGAGGTAGTTGGTGCACCTCTATTGGGTCAACCATCAACCTGATTTGTTACACCATTGTTATAGATCAAAAACAGTGATTAATTAAATGTGAAAAGTCAATTTGCCTATAAATGCTACTCTTTTTATTTTAATTTGTTTATATGTATAGTATTTATTATTTTTATTGTCATTAATTTTATTTTTTCGGTCCATCTTGAAAATTATTGACTTTTTTTATTATTTTCTTTAATCATTTTTTTTTAGTTTCAACTGTCCACATAATCACATGACATGCTTAAAATCATCATAAAATTAAAGAACATTTTGATATAATTGGCATATCTTTAGTTCCAACTTTTCAAATGACCATATGATTTTTCTTTTAACTTCATATCAAGTGAACATATGTTGCATAAATTAAAATGGAAGGAAATATTTAATTCTACAATTTACTTTACAAATGAGTAGATTTTAATTTTTTTTGCCCTTTAAATAAGCTAGTCTAATTGAACCTACAAACTCACTAGTATTTCTTGCACACCCAATTTACTTTAATTCTAATTTGATTTACAACACATTCTTCTAAAACATGGCTTTCATTTTTTCCATTTTTTTCCCTTTGATATAGAGAACATGCAAGATTCTTCTCATGAAAATGGAAAGTTCCAAAAATATTGCAAGTCGTTGTGGTGCCACTAAATAACAAACTAATGCTGATGACTGTTTTAATTAGTAGTTCAACTTGCAAGTTATTCTGACCTTCGTTGTTAGAACTACTTTATCATACCCTAAAATGTAAAACATATGTATGTGTGTGATGGATACAGTTGGGAGCTGAATTCGTGGGAACATTTATCCTTATATTTGCTGCAACAGCCGGGCCAATCGTGAACCAAAAGTACAACGGAGCTGAATCTCTTATTGGGAATGCAGCTTGCTCAGGGCTGGCTGTTATGATTGTGATTCTGTCGACAGGCCATATTTCTGGAGCTCATCTGAATCCGTCCCTAACTATAGCATTTGCAGCACTTCGTCACTTTCCGTGGGTTCAAGTGCCAGCCTATGTTGCAGCACAGGTTTCTGCATCCATTTGTGCTTCTTTTGCACTCAAAGGTGTCTTTCATCCCTTCATGTCTGGTGGAGTTACAGTCCCTTCAGTAAACACTGGCCAGGCTTTTGCTCTTGAATTCCTCATCACATTCAATCTCCTTTTCGTTGTCACTGCTGTTGCAACTGACACCAGAGCGGTATAGACCAACCTATACCTTATATATTCTTCATGTCCAGTAAATACATCCAACTACTAGTATTTACTAATTCTTTCAACAGGTGGGAGAGTTGGCTGGCATAGCCGTTGGAGCCACAGTGATGCTCAATATTCTAGTTGCCGGGTAAGTAAATATCTCAACACCCAAGTAGATTACGAAAATGGGTCTATACTAACTCAAACAAACACTTTGGGCATTACCATATATCAGCAGCTTGCAATAGGGAAGAAATTTTTTTCATTTATTCTACAAATAATGTTGCAGAGAACCAACCAATAGAGAGCCAAATTAATACCCTCCTTCCAATTATGATATATTCATGCCTAGTACTGTGACATGAATTCTCAGCTAGGCTTAGAACCTGAGTTTTTTTTTCTTCTTTTTTTTTATGACAAAGAGGGAAACCCGCAGTCGCTACCCTTAGGGTGCGTACAGGATAAAACCTCCGCTCCTATGCAATAGATTGCAAACCACATAGGAGAGGTAATCCGTACCAGGCTTGCTCGACCCAGAAGGCAAATCCCTTGCTTTTGCTGGGTAGGGGGTTCGAACTTGAGACTTCCAACATGGAAGTCTCAAGATCGAACCACTGGGCCACCCCAAAGGGTTTTAGAACTTTAGTTTTTGCCAAAGCAAATCCAGTAGTTCTTTTTGGGTGTTTTTTGACGTGTTGATGGAATAAGCAGGCCGTCAAGCGGTGCTTCTATGAATCCAGTACGAACTTTGGGGCCGGCTGTTGCAGCAGGAAATTACAAGTCATTGTGGATATACCTAGTGGCTCCAACTCTGGGGGCTCTTGCAGGGGCGGCTGTTTATACGCTCGTCAAACTTCGCGGAGACACTACAGAGACACCACGTCAGGTTAGGAGCTTCCGCCGCTAGCCTGCTGAAGGAAGGGTGTTGTTCCAACTTATATTACTATCGTGTGCTTGAAAATAAAGGTGGAGGACTAGGGAAACTATGACTTTCAGTCTAACCATCGGTAACAATTTACATTTGCATTTAGACACTCTTTCTTCTCATTCACTTTGTGTGAATGACTTAAAAAGAAGAGTCAGAAATTTGGTTGTGGTCTGTGACCTTTTTTTTCTTTCTATGATTTGCTCTGTGTGAACTATGCTACCTTAAAACTATGTGTGACGGTAATAAGAAGCTTTCTACTTGTATATCTAGTAAGAAAATATTCAAGCATCCCATGCTTATTAACAATCGTCCCACCAGAACCACTTAAATCTTTTTATCCTCCTTACAACTAATTCCTGTAGGTTACTTTCCTTTCTCCAGAATCAGACATGAATTTAACTCAACAGTGATATAATTTTCTAATAACTTTAAACTTTTAAATGAGCTAATCACATGCTACAACAACTACATTTCAGCATACATATATCATCTTCATTGCTGAAATAAATAAATAAATTATCTAACCTGAAATTGGATATAATACAGCATGCCGGTTTGTAATAAATCATCACGCTTTTCCACAATTGTTGAGGACGTAGTAACAACTCCAAGTAGTATCCTGACTTAAGCATAGTTCAGACTCTCAGTGATATTCATCACGTTTAATATGCAACAGGGAGAGCTGAAGAGACTGGAAATTACTGCAAATTATAGAAACAGGCTACTGTCGGATGGTCGTGCCTGATGGTTGCCTGTGGGTCAATCTATAAAGGCTGCATCCCCTGTTTTCCTTCTTATAAATCTATCACTTACACGAAAGTTAACACCTAGGAAGGAAAAACTCCTTGACATGAAGACATAGGGGTCTGCAAAGGACCTTTTCTATTGGCAAAAATTACCTTTTCTGCATGGTTTGGCATGTGGAAATTTACACCTTAACCAAGTCCTAATGTCACATTCACGAAGGTGAAGGCGTGCAACTTCTCCATTCCTTGACGCTTGAGCTTAATTGATCTGGGAGATGAGCAGACCAAATATCCAAATCTGGTAATGGTCCTGTCAGTGCAAGATAATTTTCTCCTGCGCTCTTTGGCAGCTTTTTCCAGCTTACCTGCCATTTCAGATAATGAACTTTTAGTCATAGCAGGTAAAGCCAGCAAAATGCAGAGCGATATTCAAAAGACGAAAATAGTCTTATTGCGCTCACTGTGAGCTAAAAGGCAATGAAGGGTTGCCTCGCCTCTCGCCATTGGAGACGAGGCGATCGTCTTTCACAACACTGCGATCACAGCAAATAAAGAAATTTACTTTATGACATGAAGATGTGATGTCAGTGGAACTCTCTGGGGAAGTTTCTTGCCAAGGTAGAGCAGGCTATCATTAACTTAACAGAGTCACCAGTCTGCCTTTTCCTAGCAATACACACCATGCAATTGCACATTTCAAGAAAATTTAGCACACATTTACAGGGTACACCATTACATTGCACCCATATACCTTGATCAACTTGAAATGTCAAGAATTCCTTCTAAAACAAGGGCACAACTTTAGAAAACTATACAGATGTTTCAAGAAATCATTGTAAATTTTATTGGGACTGTTGGGTCACAAAGATACATGGGTTTTTGGTCTATATGATGTGCAGACGGTGGTAACAGTTGGTCCAAACCTATTGAGGTCCAACACGCACACAAGTATATATACCATTCTATTTTTGCAAACTCACATAACTTTCTTCTACCACAACCAATTTCATTCAAGCGAACCACCATTTCAATTTCTACGCCATGTCACTGTGTAAACTGTAAAATAAATAGGACACTGAACATGTCATAATTACTAAACAGTATTTCTCCATCAAATTGCACATCTTGAAGGAACTTTTAAATTACATATGGCTGAGATTACTTTTTGAAAGCCTCCTTGTTTCACTGGCTTAAAGTATCAGTTTCATAGGCTCACAACCCTAGGTAACCTTTTGGAATGAAGAAAGACAAAAAGCGCAGTTTTGGAAACCAAAAGGCCATAAAAATTTTGTACTGGCTTTACTAAACAAAGAAGATAAATGGAATTCAAGTACCCTACTTGCTCAGGAAATGCCTTGCATAATGCATTGATAGTTGCATTTAGTTCCAAAGGGTCATCCCTTTTGGAAATATCCAGTTGCATCATTTCAGAATTATCAGACAATTCTTTGGTAGCAGCGCCACAATTCACCATGATCCGACCATTGGGCATCAACATCTTATTCATCTCCAACCAAGTTGTAACCTGTCAAGGGAAGACGAAACAAATGCATTAGATCCTGGAAATCTACCACCAAAGAACCAGACAGCAAAGCATATCACTATTTCGGAACAATCTTCCTACATATATTATTCAAGAAGTACCAAATTGGGGAATCTCATAATTCTAGGAAGATCAGAGGTACTCCTTCCATTTTATTTCACATATGTTGCCAAAAAAGGTTATTGTAAACTTTGAATGATAACTGTTAACATCTTTAACCAATCTGCCAAAGCTTCATATGTTTAACTGTTATTTAAGAATCTATCCAGTGAAATCTTAACGTATGAACACATTCAGCTTGTGTATCACAACATCAAAACACAAAATGAGATAGAGAGAGTAGAGAAAGAAATCAGTATATATATGTGTTAAAACTTAAGAGTTCTGTGGAAAGCTGTGTGAAAAAATTAACATATATCCCAATGTTAGATGAAAAGGAAAGGCAGAGTGAACTACACTTGAATTCATGTTACGTATATTGATATCTAAAGAGACTGAGGCCATTCAGCTTTAAAGTTGATATTACTAGAGATTAAACCTGCATTCACTGAATGTTAAACGTTCTTAATTGAGTAAATCGGAAACCATTTTGACAACACTAGATTCACAAGGGTGAACATAATGAATCAACAAGGCATACAAAGGCAAAATGACAGTAGCACTATCTTAATACTTGTTTTTCTGGTGAATAATAAATCTACTTTATCGATAAAAATGAGAGTAGATCTGCAAGTCACAATCAATCTAGACATCATTGTGAGTGCATTTGAGAAAGTAGTGATTTTAGCATGAAAATGATACTTCGTCTAGTCAGTGTTTGGTAAATATTGGAAGCGTTTTTGCTATGGTAGAGCCTTCAACAAGTGAGTAGAGAAGATGCTCAAACTTGGAGCTGATGAATCTTCTGTCTGTCAATTTCTTTTTTTAAAAAAAAATAAGATAAGTTTTTTTCTGTTGGTCATTATTTAGGTACTATTTGACATTTTTTTCACTATCAAATCAAAGCGATTTTCGTTTTGTTATCAGTAATATCTAGACCAGCTTCTACACATCTTGACTATACCAGACAAATCAAAGAAATTTCCGTAATGGTTGATTCTGTATATTAAAGTACTTTGCAAAATAATTGTACGATGAGATGCTACTATAAATTTTCTTAAAGTACTTCTCTAAATAACTACAAAAATGTACTTATCCAGAAGCTAACACATCCCAATCGGGTGCCTAAATGGGTTGATTCAACCATCAACTCTGTTATTAGCCAAAAAGAAAATCCACATGTAATTATTCAGAAGAGAGAATGAGAGATACTATTATCAACTACATAGTTTGATAAAAAGATAGATAAACATGCATTGTAAAAATAGTGCAACAACTAATGCATGTGGCATGCCTATCAAAATTTGTGCAGTTGAGCATACCTCTTCCAGTTGTGGTAAAACCTTTCCATCAGAAAACAAATCAACTATTATACCTGAAATTATCATTTAGAAGAATATAAGTAAACTTCGGATAGAAGTCATACCGAAGTTCCCCAATGCTCACTTCTGATGCATGGCAAAAAAAGTTAAAATTATGATAAATCAGGGAAGTTATTTGAAATGCTTCAGCTGCAGAACCAGCTGCAAGAACAATCATTTTCTGGAGGATAAGAACTTCCCTTCTATCATAAAGCAACTAATAGGTCGACTAAGGGTTACATGTCTGAAATAAGGCAGTGATATACCTGCATAACCTCCAGGAATAGTAACAGATGAAGAAAATACATCTCCAATGTGAACTTCCAACACACCTCCCCCTTGAGTATGCTTCTCCAGATCAGAGAGCCCAAGATATTCTCTTGCTTTTGCAATCAACTGGAATAATGAGAAAAGCCAACTCCTTTTCACAAATCAAAATGCTGAATTGGACAATGACTTGAATTATTTAGTTTTATGTGCCAGATAACATTACTAAATCCTTTTTTGGGGGCATTATTAACTAATTGAACTCCATGTTATTGGATCGATATCTAAAACACAAAATTTCGAACTGAAAATATTATCACTGCGTAAAATATTCTAAATGATCATGTAATTATTGCAAGTAAAGAGAATCATTGAAAATATTGTGTTATGGTGGCTGTTCCAGCAGTCAGTGCTTCTTTCAGGTGGCCCTTCAAACTTTCAACAGCACTGCACCCCTTTCTGGTAGATATTCTGACCACACCACTTATTATGGTCACTATTCTGAAAAGTTCACCTATCACTGTTCTGAAAATTTTTCCAGTCGTTACTTGAGCACCAATTCAAGCTAGTTCAATGACATCAAGGAGATTGTGCGTCACAACACCATTCAGAATTGATTCTTTCTGTCATACTACAAGAACCACTTATATTATTTGCAATTATTAGTGACTTTTAAAGGAAAGAATTCCAGCACCATTTTTCTTTCTGGTGATTGCCTATTATTCTAATGGTACTATTTGGATGATTCTTTACACTTCTGATTTGAATATTTCCTATCTTTAAGATTAGTGAACTCAAGTTGCTTCACCATCTCGATTTTAAGGGGTGTTTTAAGTCAAGAGAATCATTGAGAATATAAAGTAAACTACTAAATGACAATATTATAATAATTAGTATTCCCATGAATTAGAAAGTTCTCTTTTTTCATGTTACTAAAAATTCCTATAGAAAGGTCTCTCTAGTGTGTCGTTAACCAACAAATTTCAATAATAGTTTTGTTTCTTCCTTCCTTCGACGACCTATACAGTTTTTATAACTCGTGCAATTTCTTCTGGCATTGGTATGTTTTCTGCATTAGTACATGTTAGTAACCTAGCCTCAACCAAGAACTCAATATCACATAATACATGAAAGTTGCAACGAAATTTGCTGAAGGCTTGCTTGAGGAGACTTAAGTCCTCAAAGTAGGTGCAAATAGGCTTGGTACTCAACTCGATTAGAGGCTCTTTATGGAAGGCACTAAATCAATACAGCATGTATATTTTCGACCATGGAATCTATCTTGAAGAGGTAACAATGCATGATAAGCTTTACTTGAGGTTCTAAACGCATCACATATATTTTTTTCTAAATTAGAAGCGGAGTATAATATCCTCCTCAGAGATGTATAAAACATGTCACTAAAGGTCTATGTCATTTATGTGACAATCAACTCCGGAATTCCACGCAACTTTCAGTCACTAAGATCACTACATAACTTCCACATAAGTTAGAGAACAAGATCAACTTTTCATAGCAAACACTGGAAATATACGAAACAATCAAAAACTGATTTGCATCAAATACCTTGTAGAAAAAACAAGGGCTGCCAAAAATCGACGAAAACCCAAAAGCAATTTCTATTATGCTCACATGTGCATTACGATTTTGTGAAAGCTCAATTCCTAAATACATTAGAGGCCAGTTCAATTGAATCATTTAGTGAATCTGCTGGAAAGGTACTTTAGACCTGTCAACATTTTGAATTTCAATAATCATAGCTATGTATCTCTTAGTCCTGCCTATATTCTTACAAGGAAATATGATTCTTGTTTATGCTTCCTATTTTCGTTTTGGAAATACAATTTCGCTGAAGCTAAGGCCTTTAGTATTCCTTCATTTGATGTTCACCAACTGCCTTTAAAATACTATCTATGTTGAATCATAATTAGCCAGTTGCCAAGTCACAAACCCTATGCAGTGCCCTTTTTTATTAACTTGCAACAAGGAGGTTGAATAAGTCTCATTGGCTAAGCTTGTTGTAAAGAGTATGCACATAGTTTTTTTTCCAAAAAAAGAAAAGAAAAGAAAAGGAGATCTCCCTAATGATGTTTAGAATTCCTGTAACTGCCTAAACTTCGACATCATTCTACTCTTTTGGATTGGAGTGGTATGTCTCTATGCTCATATATCCCCAGTAGATTGACTGTTTTCTGTAAGTTTTGCACAGTAAAGGGATTTTCTTTCTAGTGGCTCTGTAGGACCCATCTTAATGTAAAGGAAAGGGTACTTATTCAAAGAAAATAGCAAGAAGTCAGGCTTCAAATCACCATCCCCTCTGTTTCCCTTCACATGGTTTTGACAATAAAACAATTGATGCAACAGAGGTGCTTCCTCAATAAAATAATATAATACTAATTTAAGACCTTGGATAGTTGTGGAATGACTCAGTAATGTTTTTTTTTTCTTTTCGTTATTGGATTAGTTGGAATAACTCATTACTCTTATTGGAACAAGAAAAAAACAGAAGCTAGCATCATACTATATAACTCCTCTAAATTTATATTTTCCTTTATTTATTGTGATGCATCAAGGTCCAAGATATAGAAAGCTTGCATGAGAAATATCAAAATACAAATATGCTCTTGAAAGGAGAAAAGCTAAGAAATGACAATGAGAGGTTACTACAATTTCATCTATCTCCCATCCAACAAGCAGCAATGAAGGCCACAGTTCAAGCATCAAATGTGCAGCAGTTGCACCCCCCTGAAAATTAGCAGGAAGTAGCTGCACATCAGTTTAATCCCCATAAAGAGACAGTAAGATTTCGAAAAATAAATTTGTTAAAAAACTAATTTTACTAGTGATAATTTGTCAAAAACCTTAAAAGAACCTAAATTTACCAAGCCAAAGATTGCGAGAGGGCCCTTTGGAACAATAGCCGGCAAGCCAGCAAACTCGTCCTGGTAATCAAACAGAAGAAAATGTACCACATTAGAAGACTCAATTCACTACATATGCATTAGGATCAATAACCCTAAACCATACAACAGAAAGTACAAAATTTTCGTCTTGATCATGTCATGTCCTGAATTTATGTTGCGCGCCATTTGGACACGAAACTGAGATTTTTTTTATTACTACTACCGGCAATACCATCTAACATCTCTCAGACAGATACTAATCTTCATAACTCAGAACTGTTCAACGCTCACTAACTATGCATTTGGATTTCAATAATGCGAGAATCCAACTACTATGAGGACATTATACAGATAGATTTAAAAAAAAAAAGCAATTGCATACCCAATATGCACCCGTCCATTTGGTTTCCTTGTGAAGGATGCTATGCACATTATCTGTTTTCCAGCAAAATAAAATTCAGAAACCTTCTTGTTTGTGAAATTGAATGAGTATTAGTGTGATGAGAATTAGAAACATACTGGAAGAATCGAGAAGCAGGACTCGTGATTGTGGAGTATCGAGGATTACAATGCTATTATAATTACTTGTAACAGAAGTGAGCACCTTGAAATCTGCTGCGCAGCTCCTTATCGTCTTTCTTCTTCTCAAATGCACTTGTCTTCTCGAATGCGAAATGGAGCTCAACACCTTTTCATTGCCAATAGGAAATACGCTCGCCGATGGGCCGCCCCATACACTAAGCCTGCTCATGTCCTTCTGTGTGTTTTGCGGATAAGAGTTAAAAGAGAATGACAACACCCCAAATACATCTTGCCTTTGTTCCCTCGTTTTCTAACACTGTTTTTCTAATTTCTAATTTCGAGATTCAAACAATTAAAATTTAGTCGGAAATTTATAATCTCAAAATTTCAAAAGTCCCCACAAATTGAAAGGTTATAATACATAAATATGTCATTTAATTTGGATTCAAATTACATTTATATCATTCAACTTTGGATGTGTAAAAATAGATATTAAACTTGTCAAAGCATCGAAATTGTTTTGTGATTCATCATCCTAATTAGGGGGTTCGTGGTTCGATTTGGATCGGACATTGATTAAAACTAAAATCAAATCAATTTAATCGTTTTTAAAAAATCTAAAACCAAACAAAACCAAATGAAAAAAAATAACCATCGATTTGGTTATTGTCGGTTTGGTTCAGTTTTTCTGATTTATCCAGTTTGAAAATAATAATTTTATTGAGGGCGTACATATGTAGATAGACACAACACTATGTACATGAACAATCTACAGAAAAACTAATGTCGGTCCAGTCAAGCAATTAAGCAATATTAGAGTTATCATTACACAAACAAAATGATTCATTTAAGATAAATTGTGACTATTTTATGTGAAGTACAGTAAGTAAAGACTAAAATGAATTTTGATGGACTTGGATTTGAGATTATTATACCTTGGCTAAAATGTTACGTTTGAAAAAATAGTAAAATTAAACACCCAAGTTAAATAAAATTTAACAAAATATTTTTAATTTATTTATGAATATATATAAATAATTAGTTATATATCTAATTTATCGATTCGGTTTGGTTATTTTTGTGATAGTCTTTTAGTAAAATCAAAATCAAACCAAATAGTATCGATTTTCAAAATTTTAAAACCTAACCCAACTAAACTAAACCAAATATTTATTTTTTTAATTGATTTGATTCGAATTACAATTTAATTTAATTATTAACCATAACCATGAATAACCCTATTCCTAATTTCCGCCTCACTCATTCTTTCACACTCTATTTCGACAATAAGCAAATTCTAATTCCTCAATTTCGAAAAATAAAAAAATCCCTTAAGGAACCGGTAAAAGATGCTAAGACTAATCAAACACGGATTATTAGCTAATTGGGTGGGTCTTTTTATTTGAAAACAAAAAATGATGTGTAGTGTACCAATGAAAATTGACATTTGTTTGTTAAGTTTTATGTCATATATATGTTAATTTAAGGATATTTTTGAACCAAAACAAAATGTTAAAGGCATTTTTAAATCAACGGGTGAAAGGTGAACATTTTAAAATCATTTCTAATACGTTGAGGGTATTTTAAAGTTTTTTTCCTTTTTTATTTATTTATTGTGTATGATATACTCATAGTAAACTTTTACGTACCTTAATTATTTTCACTTAATATTGACGAGTACCTTCTACCAACAATAAATATCAAGTAACTTGATTTATGGGACAAAAATTAATGTTTTGAAGAGTAAGTGATATTCATCATAACTTTTCAATATATATTTTGAATATATTAAATTATAATTATTGTCATTTTAAATATGTAAATCTTATTTTTAAAAAGTTAAAATATTATTTTTAAATGATTCACAAATAATCATTATAAATTTAATTATTTTTTATAGCTATAGTTTACATATTTAAGAATTGTAGCTACTGTTTGAACTATTTCTTTTGTATGATTCACAAATTTGTATAATTAAGTATTTTTGTATAAACTCGAAATAAGAAATTTATACCAACACAAATAACTGAACTATAAGAGTTGTCGAATTTATATCAACATAAATATCTAAACTTTAAATAGCTATACGAATTATATTATACAAAAATTATATAAATTCTATTATACAAATTCTGAATCATACAAATCTCGACTCACATAATTAACACAAAATGTTGATATCGCTAGAGGTATTGACTAAAACTATAGCTATAATGACGTGAACTATCATGTAATTTTCCCCTTTTGTAAATTCACAACATTAATTAATTTCATTTACATAAATGTATTCATTCATATTTCCCTAATAATTGTGACAACTTTTTTTTTCCAAAATGAATTTTAAAATGTAAATTATATTATACAGTAATGAGACTATTTTAAATTTGAATTAGTAGCATGAACAAAATCAACGAAATCTTATTAGTAAACTTTTTAATAATTCGAATTTAATTGGGAATCTAATGTGTTTTTGAACTTAAAAAAGAAGAAGAAAAGATTCCATTAGTATCTTTGGTCCCTAAACCACCGCGGCGGCCAAAGTAAAAATGACTTGTGTCCGTCCGGTCCACAACTATTTTCAACTTTCCATTGAATCAACTTCACTCACCGCTACCGTCTCAGGTCTCCTCTCTCTCTCTCTCTGTTGCACCAACACATTTCTATATCTTTACCTAACAATGTTTCTACTTTCTTTATTTTCTTTGCTTGCTTCTAAGTTAAAAATCGATTCAAACAATAATTTATCTAATTGAGGGATTGAATTGTGAACTGCACCATAATTTTGATATGGGTATTACTATTCTTTTCATTCTACTTGTTTTTGATGTGGGTTTGCTTAAATGGGTGTCAAAAACCTCTTCTTTTTCTTTGTTTGTTTGTTTAATTTTCGTTTCTTACTTGCTTCTGTTGGTTCTAAGATGGATCAGTTTAGTTCATGTACTTATGCCCTGGTAAATGTACTCCTTTTTATTAAAAAGTTTTATCCATGTAAGTGAACATTGAAAACCAAAAAATGAATTCATGTTTTAATAATTACTGAATTAAATTCCTTTTTTGATAAACTGAAATTTGGATTTCAACTAGTCTAATGCCTTACTTGATTATTGGGTGAGTATTATTTTGCTCGGACTCTTCAAAAATGCCAACGGGTACATGTCGGATTCATCAAAGGTAGTGTATTTTTGGAGAATCCGAGACGGGTGCGGCATCAAAAGTGAAGAGTCTGTGCAACTAAGAGTATCTGTTACTGGGTACAGTGAACAAAATAATTTTTCAGCTTTATATTGAGTTTGAGTTTGTTTTGTATAGGAGGAATGTTAAAAAGGGTTGCAAAAGGATAGCAACGCGTTTGCTTGGTTCTTTTGTATTTGTTACCAATGCAAGATGTCGGTGTAGTCCGGCATGATAGTACCGTTCACTGTGATGATCCTTCTGATATTGAAAAGCAGAGTGGGGAGATCAGCAATCATGACTTAGCTACTGAAAGAGTGGATCAATCTGTACTCACCATAGTGGTTCCTGCAAGCGAATCAATCAACTCCCAGGATCCAACATTAATCACAGACCCAGTTGGGAACATTTCCACCATTGTAGAGTCTCCTAAGAAGCCTTACTTATCCAGGAATCATAGCTTTCAGGAACAATGCAGGTTTCTAGTTTTTTCGTGCACAAAGATTACGACTTTTGATATATTTCTTTACTGATTTCTCCATATAAAGTTTTAGTATCAACCCTCTATTTGTTTCAAACTTTTTGATCCTTAGTCTCTTTTATGTGCAACGTTTGCATTGTAGCCACATGTGAATTGAATAATCCAAAAAGAAGAAATCTTGCTTGGTGTGACAAGACCTTCTTGGAAGATATCTCTTTTTTTGTGGGTGACTAGTGAAAATAGTAACAGGCCATAGTTGGCTAAAGTCTAAACACACCCAAACTATCAAAATACAAGCAACAGAGCTCCATACTCTGGCTAAAACAGAAAAATAGACATAATTGAACTGATCCTGGGAGGGGCCCTAACACAGGCGGCAAGCTATTTCCCTAGCAGTAATTTCAGGGTCTTGACAAACTTTTTCTAAAGTTCTCATGTTCTTTTTTCTCCACAAGCTATGCACAAACTCAAGATTAAATCATCTTGAAGAGTTGAGCTCTTTGTGCCTTCCCTTCTGCACAACTTATGATTTCATTGATATATTGGTCCCAAGAGTGAAACTCTAGTGTCTTAGCTTTCTCCAGGATTGAAGTTTTTCCCAGTTGCTTCCCCATAATCAGAGAAGACAAATAAATGGTCTCTTTATTCATTGTGTATATGGCATAAGGGACATTGTAAAGAAACAGGCATTCCCTATTTTAGCAATCTGTCTATAGTCAGCACTCTGTCTTGTCACTGAAACAGTGTGTGGATCTAGCCATTGGTCTGGCAGCATCGTGATACATCAAATTCTTTCACATGACTCTGGACTCAAGGACCATCAATTTTTATGTAAATCATTGAGATCAGGCTATTCCCACAAGTGTTGTTATAGTCAAAGCGGGCTAGGGAGATTCTGGATTCAATAACTAGGGACCATCAATTTCTTGGAAGATCTCTTGTTCTACCTTGATTTAGCTTTTCTTTCCAGAGATGTTACAAAAAATCTATTTCTGTAATAACGTCAGAATTTGCTTATTGATCAATATCACTTGGACATTGTGTTCTTATGACACTATGTCCCATACCTTCTTTCCTTTTGACACTATGACCGTTTTGTTCTTGCTAGGGTTTAGCACTGCATCATGTGCTGCTGTGAATTTGATGTGTTTTTTATAATCACGGTCCAAGTAGTGGTTGTGCTCATTATACATGACTGTTGCTAAGTTGAATGGTAGAGTACGACACATAACTAACAAGGGATTAATAATTGAAAAAGGAGACATCAAATATGTGAGATTGAAATGCTTAGAGGATTTATATTTGAATCGGTGCCCACTTTATTCATAAGAAAAGAATTAAATTGATGTCCAGAATAAATTGAAAAAGGAGACATCAAAATGGTCATTTTGCAAAAGTGAAGGACTTTTAAGGTAGAATCTTTTATATATTTGTAGTACTTTCTGGCTTTCGAGTTGGTAATCATTCAGAACTTGCTACAGCAAAATGACCTTTTTTCCCCATTTAATATTGAGAGTGCCAATCTTTTTATTATTTATTATTTTATTTCCATATTTGGAGTACCAATCCTTTGACAATTTTAGGTACTCACATTGGCAAGTCTCTTAGGCAGCTTTCTAAAATATAAAGAATGAGGCTCTGGTCCAGTATAGAAATTCTTTGAAATTTGTGTTCTGTGATGTTCTTGCAGAGTATGTCAAGAGGAAAAAGAGGAAGAATTGATCGATCTTGGATGCCACTGTCGTGGTGGATTGGCAAAAGCACATCGGACATGCATAGATACATGGTTTAGTACTAGAGGTTCAAATAAATGTGAAATATGCCAGTAAGTGGTAGACTAAATGCATTTTAATGTTGTTTTTCCCTATCAGACAGTATATCGATGTAGGTTTGCCATTTTATGCAGGCAAGTAGCTGTAAATGTGGCATCTCCAGAGGCTCATGCACCTGTAAGTATCTTTCTTTGTTTGGATAGCAATGGTTTTGGATGAGCTCTGGACATTGGATCTCTTTAAGCATCAGTAATGCATGCTTTTCGCTCTCTTTTTGAAGTTATTGCTCGGTGCTTCAGCCATCAAGCTAGACTGGTCTTTTCAAAGCATGAATATCCTTCTGGCCTTTCAGCTAATAGGTTTTTGAAATTGAGCATTTGACTGCACCTGCCTCCATTGGATGGTGTAATAGTTGGCTAGTCTTATTTTGTCTGTTGTCCTCCCTTTTTTTGTGAGGCAGTGTGCCTTTTTTACAGCTTTTTTCCTTCCTTTCTTTGTCTGCTACTTCCCCCTTTTTCCTGTAAGTAATTTTTTTTTTGTTGTATTCCTGTCTTGGTCCAGAGATATGATCTGCTTCTTCTTTAGAAAAAAAAAAATCAATTCTGGTTTCCAGTGATTTGGTCCCCTCATTGTTCAGGAAGTTGTCTTGTATACAGTCATCAGGTAATTAAGCTTCACATTTTGTTCCTCATATTGCTCAACAGACTTCTGAGTAGTTGGATCATACCTAAGGTCCACAACCAACTGTATAGGCTCTTGGTTTTTCAGTTCTGAAGCAAGACTGGTAGATAGATCAATATTATTGAAATCCTAAATTTTGTGTTGTTGACCAGTGTCTTCACTATCAGATTGCTAAGTGTTCACTAAGTTATTCTTACTATTATCAGACTTTCCAGAGATCGCATGCCTACAGTTGCTTCCTGATCTTCTGTTCTTGCTATTCTCTTTGTTCTTCATTTTTCCTTGTTCTGTTGTGTCCTTACATTAGCAGTTCTGGCATTGACATCACTAACATGACTGCTCAGTCCATAATCTTGTTCTGATAAGCAGAGGTGTTAACTGCATTAATGTCATTTTGGTCATTTTGATCCTGCTGTGTGTCATCCTTACCCTTAGACTGGGAAGAATTAACTCCTAATATAGCAGTCCTAGACTTGTTTCTTATATGAGTTATAGCTGGCTGAAAAACAACATTGCTTTTCTTCATAGGCTGCTTCTGTTTTCCAGTACCTTGCTGATGTTCTGCCTAGCTATCATGACCTTGTGAACTTTTACTTTTCCATGTCCACATCTTTTGTGATCTCAGCCTCAAGCTTCTGTCCATACCCATTTTCATTCTTATTCACCGCCCCAGAGATCTGCCCAATTTTGCCTAGACTTTCATTGTTTTTCACCTCTCTGATCGATGACACATGGGTCTAACTCAACCCCAAAAGCTAGCTCATGAGGGGAGGATTGCCCAAGTCCATATAAGGAGATCACCAATCCATTCCCCAACCAATGTGGGACTTTTGCCCACTCTAACCGAGTAACTGTTATGACCTAGCTTCTTACACTACTTACAGAATTTTGGTATAATTTTATACTCGGTTTTCTGATAATAACCTTTTAACGGGGATTTATGTTCCAGGCCTACATAACAGAGTCGACTCTTAAGTAAATCAACCTCCTCCGGAACCTTAGCCATACTTGGCCTAGTCAACCAAATGTAGCAGCATCTAGGGCAAGGCTTATGTTGCTCGGACTCTTCAAAAATGCCAACGGGTGCGTGTGGGATTCGCCAGAAAGGGTGTATTTTTGAAGAATTCGAGACGGGTGCGGCATCAAAAGTGAAGAGTCCACCCAACTAACGGCGAGGGGTGTGTTCCCACATTTTATTTTATTTTTTAAATTGGCGGTAGGGGAAGGGGAAATGGGAGGGGATTACAATGTGGGGAATCAAACCCTCACCAACAAGGTGGGAGTTTAGGTAGTCAACCAACGGAGCAACTATGATTCCCCAGGGGAGTTCCCCACATTGCTACAGATTGTTTTACAAGATGCCATGTGTGGAGGTGAAAGGGGATATATGGAAGCAGAACTCACACAGGAACTGTTTGAAATCCGGAAACCACTTCTGCAACCTCATTTGCAGTCTGTCGATTTTGATCATTTCTTTTGAACCATGTCATATTGAAATTATCTTCATTGATAAAATCAAGAAACACTTTGTAGTTATTGAAGAATTAATTTTCGCAGACACCTTAATCGGGAAGAGTTCTTTGAATTTTGATCCAAGTCTTTCAGTTTTGGCCTAAGATTGTTAGTCGACCAATCTTCAGCCATGATTCCCAAGTAATTATTACAAGTGGTCTATTTGGCAATTACTGGTTTTGAGCATGTAGATTTGGTCAAGATTTGTACTCGTAGAGAGGTCAATAGCTGTTGCATAGGTTCTTTCTCCCCCCTGTTCTTCACAATTGAGGTTCTCAGTGACCGATATGGACCAGCTTTTGAAAGTACACGGAGAGCTTATGTTCTAGAGAGAGTATTGACTGTTTTGGTGAGTTTTACACTTTTGAGTTAGGCTCAATGTCCATATATCCATAAATAGTAATTTCATTTATTCTTTTTTTGGTTTTTGTGGCGTCAAAATATGGACATGCCCTCTTTTTTCTGTGACAAATATTCTACTGATTTAACTTGTTACATCAGGTTAGAAATCAAATGAATAATGTGGATCCAGATTCTACTATGTCAGAGTATAAAGTTAACTGGTGGATCTTATTAGGTAGTCCCTTGTTCCAAATATTTGATTAAAATCTCTGAGCCAAGTTCAAATTCATATAGAGATCTGGTGGAACACCGTGACATTTATTATTCTATGAAACAAAATCTTCTTTTATTTGTGTGTATATATTGGGATTGTTTTGACTGCATCATTTATCTATCACACAACCAAACCAAAAATAAATTCATAATCTTTTCTCCATAAAACATTTATTTTCTATGAAACAAAATCTTCTTTTATATATATATATATATATTATGGACAAAAGATTAGTCAGAAAAAGATATAATCTCAAAGATTAGTCAGCTACAAATTATTGGGATAGATACTCTTGTAATTATGTTCTGACTGCATCATTTTATGGATGGCAGACAAGTTACTGGATTTGGAGAGTCGATCCTTCTTTTAGGGGGACAAATATTTCCCAAGAGCGGAATAGAGTAAGGAGCATTACACTTTCCCAAGCTCCTGCTTTGAAGTCGATGCCTTCTGTATTACTTCTAAAATTAGTAAGTTTGTACAGGGTTGTCTTAATCCACTTTGGGTTGCGTTTTGTATCCTCATTGGCGGTCTGTTTCTGGATGTGTTAATATCAATTACGCTTGGAGTCTCTGCACTGCCTGTGAACATCATAATCGGTACATGCCCTTGATCTTTTCATTAATTGTTTATTGTCAAAACATAGACACTAGATACTGTTTAAGTGTACATTGTCATGTTGAAAGCAAGAATCAATGTGCAGGGGTAATAGTTGTGCTGGGACTCGGAACAGCTCTTCGGCTTGCCCTTGAGTTCTGCCATGATCGGAGTATCAGAAGTGTAGTTCACCGGTTAGAAGGAAACGTCAGTCTTGGATATCATCCTACGGTATAATTGTTCATACACCCTGAAAACATTGAAATTTATCCAGCCTGCAACTTGAAAGATTTGTTGGAGCCAGTATTTTTTTAGATGACAATTTCTGATTGATAACGTACTTTACCCATTGTATTTATTTCGTTTGAGGATGCAGTGTGCAGTTTGACATCTTGTTTTGCAGCTTTGATATCTCTATATACAACAGCCTCTATTCCCAAAATTACTTTAGAACACAATAACTTTCTGTAGCTTTAAGTGTTTATTTTTTGTCTTTATGCTGCTAGGTGCCTAGCTAATAAGTTGCCTTATTCCCCTTTTTTCATTTTTGCCTGTATCAGACATCTTGTGCAGTGTACTTGGTGACTGCTGTGAGTAATTTATGCATTTATCTATCACACAATTAAAAACTTATAAATCTATGCATGGCTCTTGTCTATTTGAAACGGAAACTTATGCAACTAAATAAACATCTATTAGTGTTTTCTTTTAACATAGTTATAGTTGCAACTAATTTCGATTAGCAGCAAGTGTTTAATTCGAACGGTTAGCTACGTTATGTAATTAGCCAAATATTAGTTATTTTTACCTCATTATATTTCAAAGTCTTGACTATATTTGAAAATTCCTCCATTTACTGTGAATTAACACACACACTAACACTGCAACATAGGTTACAGTAATATAACTCTATCCGTTCACTTTTAACTGTCATGGCTATCATTTTATTATGTGTTTTTTCATTACATTGATATGCAAAAAAATTGCAAGTTATAGTACTTTTTTGAATATTAAATCTATTTTATTTAAAATATCGAGTTAATTTAATTTTAATTTTGAAAATTAATTATAAATTTGAAACGCGTAATACTGGAGTTTGTGTGTGTCATGATAATCACTATTTGGGCTGCCGATTAAGTTTGGACCATGATTGGTCTCTATCTTTACGGCTGTTAGCTATGGAACGTAGCTCGAATGGTAACTATCAGTGCTCGCACTACTAATATCATATAAAGACGATGGAAGAGAACACTTTATCCGAAAATAAAAATTATTTATAAGCCGTTATTTTTTTATGATTTATTGTTTGATACCATCAACTTACATATATATTTTGATTTATATATATACACACTATGATGATGTCATCAGTGAATGGAACAGAGTAAGTGAAATGAGTTCAATCAAGATACACATATTGGGTTGGGTCCAATTTAAATAAGATCTGATGTGATCTATTAATCTTAATAATAACAAATAGATCAACAATATGAAAGCACAAGATTTTTGTAATTTAATACATTAGTAGGGAATTAATGAAATTAAAGTAGTGTATTTTAGCAATTTTTCCATAATAATTTAAGATGTTGCAACACTCGATCAAGTCTCTTACTAGTAGTTCTTCTTTGAGAATGGTTTGTGCTTTAAATATTTTTGATTGCAATTTGCAAAAATCAGAATATTTTTGTCAATATATCTAATGTATAAAAAGACGAAAAAACAACCTAGTAATTTGTCATTGACTAAGGATCATAACTTTACAGCTGCAATCCATTAACTTATTATATACGATGAGAACACAAAAGGACTAAGATCTTTTTAGCAAATTCTATTTCTTTTTAGTTAGTTAAATCATTAAAACTCCTAAATATAACAATTGGTTTGTAAAATTACTTTAAGTAAGCTTTGCTATGATGTAAAAATTATACACGTAATGCCAATGCACAAAAAGTTAAAACAGTACTCAAAACAAAATTCTTTTATTTCCTCTTTCTTTTTTGCTTTTTTCTCCAATTAAAATTGACTTAACAAAGATAAATCCACTTATGACTTATCCACCTATAAATCTTTTGTCCTTTTTACGCCTATATATTATACATAGCTCATTTTGACGTTTGCATCTTTAACCATAAGACCTAACGAATGGATCGTAGCGCAGCAGTGGAACTTCTTCGTCCTTAATTAAAGGTTTTAAACTCGAGCTATGAGTACGAAGAAAATGTTATTGAGAGCGTAAAATATCATCTCTAAATAGGTTTTACAATGCGAAATTCATATTTAATTGGATTCGGACCAAATAAAAAAGAAAGGAAAAATTGTATATAATAGCAAACTAATAACCTAAAATAATTGGAGTAACTAGGGTTTGATTTAATTGTGCTCCATAGCAAACGTTAGCCAAAGTTTGTCAGGCGTCTCTCTCTCAAAAATCTCGCTCGCCACTCTCCCATTCTCGCTCGCCGCTCTACTCTGCTCTCCTCTCTCGCTTTATACACAAAAGTGTATAATTCTGTTTCTGTTTTGTATAAACCGAGAGAAAATTGTATATACACATGCAAAAGCATATATCTTCGTGTTATACACTTAATTATACAATTTACAAACATTTTACTTCAATTCAGTTGTAGACAAATGCAAATTTTATACAAATATTGCAGAGGAAAAGGCCAACGAATTATACAATTGTAGTGAAATACAATTTTCTCTAGCTTTATACAACAGAAGTGTATATATTGTGTTTCTGTTTTTGTATAAAGCGAGAGAAAAACATATATCTTCTTGCTATACACTTATAATTATGCAAGATACATACATTTTAATTCGATTCAATTGTATACAAAACAACTTTTATAAAAATATTACAGCGAAATAGGCAGCGAGTTATACAATTAAGCATTATACAATTGCAGTGAAATAGGATAGCGAATTATACAATTGCAGCGAAATAGGCCAGCGAATTATACAATTGTATATGTATAGCGAATTATACAATTTTATGTTTGCTATGGAGCGCAATTATATAAACTTTGCTATAGTATATATAAATATAAATTTTTTGTTTGCTATATGTGAAAGTTGGCCAAAAAGAAAACCACAAAACTTAAAATAATGGCCACTTTCTAGCTAGAGTCACTTTCTTACTTTAAAAACAATGGCCCCTTTCTAACAATGATCATATTTAGTTCATTACTTCAAAACAATCACACTAGTCATAACTTTAATGTATTATCAAGTGATGCTTTTAATAGTTAAAAAACGATGGAAGATTGGTTTTATGTCCCCTTCCTTAATTTAATGGGATAATTATTAATTAGGCCATATAGCCCTTAACTTTTTCTTTTTTTTTAAAAAAAAAATGGACTTTTATTTATTCAGCCAGTTAAAATTTTTCTGCATATGATTTTTTTTTTTAAATTGAAGACATTTATTCTGTGTTCTTCTTTCTTCTTCTTTTACGATATGCTGCGTTATTTTCTTAAAAAATCAACATACCCGCAAACGTGAATTGTTTCAAGCGAATTCATATATTATAAAATTTTTAGGACTATGTAAAAGTGATTTTAAGTTGATCTAGATTGAATATAGTTAATGTATACATGTATAACGCCAATCTATATTTTTTTTTATGACTTTTGAGTATATATAAGACATAATTCATTAATATGCTTTTTAACTTGATCTCATTTTATATTTATACCCTTAAACTTTGAGTGTGTATAAGTAGGTATTTAAACTTGTATAAGATTGAACAAGTAGACACATGAGTCATATGTGACACAATACACATAAGACACCACGTAGGACACAAATTACCATGTAATATGCCACGTAATACATATTCGATTTCAACATCGATTTTACCTATTTTTTTTAGGGGCCGAATTCAGAGTTCGTTCTCGTTTGATGTCTACTCAATCTGTATCTTTTGGTTCAATTTTATACATGTTTGAGTGTCTACTTATACATACTCAAAATTAAACGGCATAAACATAAAATAAATTAAAATTAAATGACATATTTATATATTATGCTTATATATAACTCGTGTAGACGTTCTACTCTTTGGCTATATTTTTTTATTTAAATGAAAGTATAGCTACATTTATATGAGTGATGAGAAGAAAAGTTAAGTGTAATAAGGCTGCATACATATATATACATGTATATAGAAGTTTTCACAAACTAAAACGTGAAAGTTGAGCAGAAAAGGTTTCGTTATGTTTGTCTGGCCAGAAACCAGCATACTCACTGCCACACAAGTACACTAACTTAGCTACCTTCTAATTAATTGCAATCACTTTGTGCCATGTCACCAATAATATTTATACATATGGTTACCTAGCTTTGCTTTGCTTCAAAAAGTTGGAAAACCTATACATGGGTACTCCTATACTACATTAATTAAAGTCACATTAGCTAGGGTGGACCTTGCATATGCATGTGTACTCATTAGGTCTGTCGGGGTCATTTGATAGAGCGTATGAAAATATTGTTAAAATATATTATATTAGTAATACTTACATTAATTATAGAAAAAATATTTGATATTTCTCTTTAACTTTGTCATTTAGGATTGATATGCTCTTCGTTATGAAAGTGATTCATATTTAATTTATTCATAATATTATACAAATGACTCACTTCTGCAGTTAAATGAAGGACATACATGAGCTCATTTTGTAACGATAGGGGTACATGTGTGTTGTTTGTATAACAGTATGGATATATATGAGATACTTTTATTACGAGGGACATATCAGTTTCAAATGACAAAGTTGAGGGGTATACTTGAGCCGTTTGTATAATGATAAGGGTATGTATGAGCTCAAATATTTACTTACAAAGATTAAAAAATATTTCTTTTGAGAAACAGCGGTGTCTTTAATCACACTATAACAAAAATAATTTTTAGCGGCGAAAAAAAGACACATTAATAAAGAGTGTTAAAATCTTTACCGACATTTGTTAAATGTCACTAGATCTAATATCCTAAAACCTTTAGACCCATATACAAAATGTGCTAATTACCGCTAAAATTACATATTTAGTAGCAATTGCTATTTATTGCCGCTAAAACTCATTTTTTATGTAGTACTGCATGCATTAAAACCCTTTGTATTACTATTACTAGATATTATTATTTTAGTTATACATATCTTCATATACAATAGAGTATATCTAATTCTTGAAAAAGTACACTATACCATATAACATATTATTAATTTATAGAGTTAATAAATACGTTATTTTTATTGATACACTTTATCAAACGACTCTTACGAAAGAAAATTAGTTTCTAAGGATGTGGTGTTGCATCGAGGGAACTTAACAGCTGAATGATGGAACAAACATTTGGATTGAGACAAAGATTTTAAAATTACACATTTTTTGTTTCCTTTAATATAATAGTTTTTATTTATTTATTTATTATTATTATATAATAGAGTAATTGTAAGGTTTTGGTAAAATAATTTTAAACAATAGATCAATATTTCAGGAGGAGATCATGTATACAAACATGAGCAATATTGAAGCTGTGACAATAACATAACTTCCAAATCCAATAAATGCCAATTAATTCATCTTATTTCAACAACC